TCAATGCAGCATTATTCACAGTAGCCAAGACATGGAAACAACCTAAGTATCCATCCACAAATGAACGGATAAAGAAACAATTTGGTATATGTGTATATAATAAAACATTATGCAGCCATAAAAATAAGGAAATCCTGCCACTTATGACAAGAGACATTACTCTAAGTGAAATAAGCTATTCACAAATAAGCTTATCACACTAAGAGACATTACTCTTAAGTGAAATAAGCTATTCACAAATAAGCTTATCACACTAAGAGACATTACTCTAAGTGAAATAAGCTATTCACAAATACTACATCTCACTTATATACAGAATCTTAAAATAAGTCAAACTCATAAAAGAAAGAGTAGAATTGACAGGGCTGGAGTTGGGGAAATGGAGAGATATCGGTAAAGGGTACATACTTTCAGTTATAAGGTGAGTAAGTTCTGAAGAACTAAGGTACAGCATGGTGACTATAGCTAATAAAAGTGTATATTTGAAATTTTCTGAGTTGATCTTAAGTGGTCTCATCATCAAAAAAGGGAGGAGACAGATGAAGTAATGGACTGGTTAATTAGTTTGATCAAGGGAATCATTTTGCTGTATATCAAAATATCACATTGTATACCTTAAATATATATAATGTTTATTAGTCAATAATACCCTGAATAAAGCTGGAGGGAAAAAAAAGTGGTTATCTGTAGTGATCACCTTTACAATGGGGGAGATGATCAAGGAAGAGAATTCAGGGGGCGTCTAACTGTGGAATATTCTACTTCTGAAGCTGATTTGTGGGTATACAGATATTTATTGTATGCTTTATATATTTTCATAAGACGTAAGTATCACGTAGTAAAAACTTTAATGAGAAAATTCTTTTAAAATTAAAATGAAAGATACCATTTTATATCTTTCAGACTGGCATAAATCAAGAGTCTGAAAATACCAAGTGCTCATTGGCCATAAAATGGGGGCAACTGGGACTCTCAAACATTAAAGTATAAATTGGTACAACCAGTTTAATACCGATTTGTCAGAATATGGAAAAGTTGAAGCTGTACAATCATTCAACCCAGCACTTTCATTTCCTAATGATCCATCCTACAAGCTCCCGCCATGAGCACCAAGAGACGTGTATATTCTTGGCACCGTGCTTTGTTGCAGCAAAAAATTGGAAATATCCCAAATGCCCATTATTGGAGGAATAAGTACTGAATTGTGGTATAAATCATATGATGTAATACTATACAGCTGTTAAAATTAATGAACTAGACTCTTATGACAACATGATAAGATCCCCAAAACATAACATTGAATAAAAAATTTAAAACACATAAAATAATACTACATTTAAGATATGAATAAAAACATCTAAGTAAGGAAATTACAGAATTATGGAAGGGCAGAATACACACCAAAATCATAACTGAGATTGCTTCTGGGAAAAGAGAGGAACAAGACTAGGGAAGAGAAAAAATATAACCTTAGGACTGTTATGGCTTTTATTTTATTTTAATAGATAAGAAGCAGAAATGAAAAATGTAAATATTCTGGGAGATGAGTTTTAAGCTTATAATACTATATCTAACTTCTGTCATATTATATACTCAGAATACATATAGTCCAATGCCCCTTATATTATTCTTTGCACTTTTTCTTTTCGATTTATGAAATAGTCAACTAATCCTCTTCTCATCTACCCACCCCCACCCAAAGTTTCAATCAGCCACACAGGAAAGGCATACAAACAGGAAAAAGCTCAGAGGAAATAGCCACATTAGCAGAAACCACAAAGCTAGTCGAAGACACTCAGACAACTGGCTTGAAACAGAAATCACGCTTACAAAAAAATAACGAATGAAAGATCACACTCACACAGCTTTGACAACACGAAAGCTAGTTAAGAAGTCATGCAGATCCAGGTTCAACACTAACTCTGCCAGCTACCTGCTCAGAGACCTTCGGTAAATTTCTGAACTGCTCTAGGCCTGAGTTTCCTTACATTAAGATAGGACTTATAATACCTACCTCAAGAATCACGGTAAATACTAACTTGGATACCATCTGTAAAGTGCTTATCAGAGTACTTGGCACATAGTTATTTGTTCGATAAATGGTAGTTAATGTTTGTGTCAGAACTGGGATTAGAACTCCCTGTGTGGGCATATAATTCAGAAAAGCAAATAGAAATATCCAAACCGATGCACCAAAACAAATGATCCTCCAACACTGGAGCAAGCCCTACTGTTGACTGATACGTATGGCTTAAAAACAATGGAAAGAAGAAGAGGAGAGCTACAGAATAGACAGGAGACATTCCATTTATGAATAACTATATCAGAGGGGAAATTTTATAAAGCCAGAAAAATGCAAACTGTCCTCAGGCAAACAGGCAACAGTTTATCAAACTGAATGGTAATCTCAACTGGGTACCAACCGAGCTACAGATCCCATTAACCTGTAATCCACAAAGTCCTTAGACTCCCACACTTCTAGCTTTAGAAGATAAGCTTTCATAAGCTGCTAAAAAAGAGAGAATATTTTTTAAGTATACTTAGGGGAAAAAAAAAATAACATTTTCTAGGCTTGGGTCAAAAAAAGATTCTCACAAGGGTCTTTACTGCGAGGCCACATGGTATATTAATGGATTAAAAATCTGTAATTCTCTAATTCAAAAGTGATATAAAAGAAATAAAAGTTAATTTAAAATATGACAAGACCAATAAATGTAAGAAATAAGAATTTACCACTTCACTAAAAAAAGTTAATGAATTCCCCGAAAGATCCATCCAAACGTACATTGACCAAATTATCCCTGTTACATATATTCTTTTAAAATATAGAGGAAGTACGGGTTAACAACCCAATTTATGAGCTTAAAATGGTTTTGATGTTTCAACCAGGCCAAAAAAAAAAACACCCAATAAAATTTATAAAACAAAAAACTGAAGTTTCTTAACATATTGTAAGAAACAAAAACAAAGTTTCTAAATATACTGGATATGTAATATATTGAAACAATTATGGATTATGTCTGTGTAGGTTTTTACCTGAAAATGCAAGTTAGATTATATGACAGGAAAATTGGAAAACCAACTGGATCTTAGATGATATTAAAATTGTAATTGTAAAACAATGCAATCATTGTACTGTGGTTATGTTAATAAAATAGAGTATTTATCCTCTAGAAATACTAAAGTATTTATAAAGCAAATGATCTCTTTTCGGGTTTAAAATAACACACTGGAGTTGGGGACAGGGATGGGGAGGGCGAAAATAAATGAAACAAGATTGTCTCTATTTTGAAAATTGTTGAAGCGAAATGATATATATTACTTTACTACGACAGTATATTTTGAAAATATCCGTAGTTGAAAATTAAAAGAAGCATATGTATTTAAAAGTTAGTAAGTTAAAAGCCAACTAGTTAGTGAAAAATTTTTTCACGACAGAAAAAAAAAGGATGACGAAGACTTCCAACTGTTGTTATTCAGTATAGTGCTAGAATGTTCCTTCCTTTTCTTCTTTCTATCCTCCCCCCTCTTGCCTCCTTGCTTCCCGATTTCAACCACTGCTGTGAATAGATGTCTCCTTCTAAACACATAACTTCCCAAAACCCAGACACGGACTTTCTGATTGGTGCCTCAAAACATATTCAAAAAAATATTTTTTAAATGACGAAGCATATTCAAGCACTTTTTAAAAAGTTTTAGTTTTGCCCTAAACAAATATAAAAAAAATTAAAACACTATCTTATCCACCTTACCCATTTAAAATGTCTTTTGTATGTCTTATTACATATATTGCGAGTGGGTGATCTAAAGTTCACTAACAAGCGCGGGATCAAAAGTTTGAGGACTGCCATTTTGGATACGGGGACATCACTTAAAGTTTTTGATGAGAGCAAAAAGTACTATATCAAGAAAAATAATTGAGCGGAAGTACACAGGAACAGAAACGATGGGGAGAAAGACTATAGACCAGAGACTCATTCACTAATTCAAGACATTCATTCGGAAATGAGATGAGAAGGAGGACGCTCCAGGAAGGGATGGGAGACTTCAGGAAAAGGACTTGGTGATTAAAGATGAAGAGAGGGTTTGGGGGAATGTCCAGACCCTGCCCTGGGGGACAGAAGATGAGTTTGACTCATACTGGCGGGATAGTCAGACACTGAGACAGAGAACATAGATTCCGCTGGAAGGCCTGGGCAGCGGCGGGCAGGTGCGCAGCCATTTTTGAAGACGTGACAGCTGAACCCCAGGGAGTGAACTCTCGGGGAGACTTGGTAGATAGGTCAAAAGGCTTAACCCAAACCTCGGGGCACACTTATATTTAAGAGGCAAAACAAAACAAAACAAAAAACCTGGAAAAACAAATAGCTGCCTGAGAAGTAAGCCGCACTATGTCAAAGTGGTTCCCAGGGCGGGATGTCAGCGGTTGGATCACCGCGGAGAGACCACGCGAAGGAGCGCCCCGAGAGGACACACCATTGGTAACCTGGAATAGGACTATTCTGTCAAGCGGTGTGGACGAGCGTCAGATATCAGAAAAGCGACAATGAGGGGGATGGGGCGGCTAGACCCGCGGCCGGCGGCGGTGGAGAAGGATCCGGGTGCCGAGCGTGGCGTGGGCGCCGGGGAGACCGCAACGCGCCTAGGGACGGAGATGGCAGAGGGGGAAAGACTCAACAGTCCTGAGAGTGGAGGCACTTTCCTTCGTTCCCAAGCCTGCCTCCCAATGCCCCAGGCCTGGCGGGCCCCCAAAGTACTTTACTCTTATGGGGGCGGGGAGTTAAGCGGACTCCCCGGGGCAATGTGGCGTTAGCCAGACTCCCGGCAAGGTCTGGAGGCGCCAGAGGAAGGGCTCTCCACCGGAGCAGAGAAGTGAGGGGGCGAAGGAAGGGGCTGTGGGGTGCGAGGTCCCTTCGAGGGCGCGCCCCTCGCGGACAGCAGCCCCCGGAGTCGTCTAGCCGGGGACCCGGGGAGCCGCCCCTCCTTCGCAGCGCACTCACCGATCCGACTGCGAATAGTGGCAGCGGCCCAGCAGGTTGAGCTTGCAGAGGTGCAGGTTTCCGCAGCCTTTTTTGCAGAACTTACGACGGCAGATCCGGGCTCCGGTAGTGGCCACCACGGACCGGGTGACCCCGGCCCCGTCGCGGGTCTCCAACACCGCGAAGCGGTTGGGCCCGGCCGCCTGCAGCACCTCGCAGAGCTGCGCCTTGGACAGCGCGATCTCGTCGAGCAGCGCGTCCAGGGCCATGCGGCCCCCGTGCGCGCACAGGATCTTGGTGATGAAGCAGCACACCTCCGGGTCCGCCATGGCGCTGCGCTGGCCTTGCCGCGGCGCGGGACGCAGCTCCGGGGAGAATCGAAACTTATGAGAGCCCCGGGGGCGGGCGCGGGCGGTGCTGGGCTGGGCGCGCCCGGGGCCCGCGAGCGCGCGCTCTCCGCCGCCGTTAACCGAGCCCAGTGGTTTCGGTTTCCCACTCGGCTCCGGGTCAACAGAGCAGATGTCACCGACCCGATCCGCCTGTCAGATTTTAAGTCAACCGCGACGGCCACCGAATGGAAGGAAAGCGAGCAGCAGGACGGCGGCTCCCGCTGGGTTCTGGCGTCCACGAGGGTGAGGTGCCCCAGCGGGTGAGGCTTCCTCCGAAAGAAGAGAAACTAAAAATGATCTCGGGGCGCTGGTGCAGTTTTTATAAGCCAGCCCAAGTGGCGAATGACGCGAGTTTGGGAGCCCCCTGGAGGAGTTCTCTCTGCACCCCACCCATCCCGGGAAAGAGCATACCTAGTGAGTGAGCGCTTGCTCCGAGCTGGGCGCCCTGCCTCCGCTATCAGTCAATCTAATCAAAACCTCCACGAGTTAGGTATTATTAACCTCGCTCTGTGTTTAAGGAAGAAACTTGAGCACACACGCACAGCCATCAAGCTGGAGCCCGGGTGTTACCCGAGGTCCCCCAAATCTGGCCCCCAGGCCCCAGATCGTGGACCGCCTGGCTAGGGCCGATGTGCACTTTCTCCCACACCACCATGCCCTCCTAAAAAAGGAGCGATTATACCTCTCCCTCCCTTTTGCCTTCTCTCGAGCTTTTTGAAGAACCATTTCTTGACCTTTCTTGCCTGCCTGTTATCGCTAACTGCAGTGCCTCAGGCATCGCTTGCCTCTCCACAGCAAGCAGTCTCAGGCCGGCACGTCTGGACATAACCCAGGATTGCAGATCGGTTTCTCTCTTTAGGTATTTGGACAAGACCTTTTACCCTCCGGGGCTTGGGCCCCCAGAGTTGGTATAAACATTATTTTAAAGTGAAAATATTTGAGCTACAGAAGATGCTGAAGAAATTTTATCTGAAATTCTCTTACTCTGACTAAAGCAGAGCCTCCTGGAAATGCAGCTACTTCCAGCGACCCCCTTACAAAGGCGTTGCCTACCCATTCAGTTGTCCAGTGGAGACAGCCCCAACAGAACCTTCCATACTCTCCACTGGAGCCCTAAAAATCCTTCTCTTTTGTTAAATTGAGAGAAATTTCTGGATATTCTCCACCCCTCCCAAGATGTAAATAAATCTTTTTTGTCTTTTCTTCTGTTCTCCTGGCTACTGTCACTTAATTTGCAGGTCCTCAAGCACGGGACCCAAATTGGAGGGGGAAAAGGTTTTTCCCCACAACGCTCCCAAGTAAAATAAATGGGCCACTAATCAGATCGGAAATAAACCTTTTTCAAAAAGGATAGACTATGGTTGTCAAATTAGAAAGTCTTCAAAACAATCAATGGGAATTCTCAGTTTAGTAATTCGTGGTAGATGAACTGTGTCCCTCGGGAATGGAATACTTTGGTATGAAAACCAGCCAAATGTGGGGCTTACACAGGATCATCTGACTTCTCATTCCCTCTAGCTGTTACTTTCATAGTTGCCTTTGATCTACTTGGCCTTATCTGTGGTCTGACAGGTTGCCAGGACAGCGCTTTCATTATCAAATCAAATTCAACATAGGATCTTCTGTGTGGCCCTTACATCAATGTGTCGCTCTGAACATGCAGAAGTTTAAGAAATAGTGCCTGCCCTCAAAGAACCTGTGTTTGGGAAGACATGAGAAAAACATTCAAACATAAGGGAATCAGTGGTTTCTTAAAAAGAAAACCACATGCCCAAAATGGCATCATTTGTGCTAAAAGCCCATGATACTAAACATAGATTTAATACCTGATTTAATTGTGGTTTCATCCTCTCCCAGAAATATAATTTTTAATCAACTAGTCTGGAATTTTCTGGTCAAGAACCAGTAAGATAATCTGTATTATAGGCTCTCTCCAGGCCACACTGCCCTCCACCTCAGAGGAAGAAGAGACAATTTACACGATAAAACCCTTGCCCTTCCTTTCACCAAAAAAGATGATGTCCTGGCCTAAAAATAGTCCTTTCTTTTCTTTTGCTAATAACTCACCTGCCACAATCTTCTGCCTATAAAAACTTTCCATTTTGTACAACCCCTCAGAGAGCCCTTCTACTTGCCAGATGGGATGCTGTGCAATTCATGAATCCTTCAATAAAGCCAGTTAGGTCTTCAAATTTACACAGCTGAATTTTGCTTTTTAACAGGTTAAACACTGCGATTGGTATACAAGACGTTTGAGAAGGAAGAGTACAGTTTGGCTAAAGTGGTTGAGAATAGAGATATAAAATTCTCCTCAATTTGAAGCCATGAAAAATGCTTTAAGGTATTGTGGGAAGGGAAAAGGCAGACATTTTGTGAAATTTTGAAATTTGTGCTGTCATGGGTTGAGTTCTCCAGGAAGCAGACACTGATATAGAGTTTGGAGTACAGAAGGTTTCGTGAGGTGTAACACAGAAAGTCAGGGTAAGAAACACGATTGGTCCATTGGTCCATGGTAACTATCAGACTGCAATGCAGACCTCACAATTCTTCCAGCCTAGCAGGGAGGAGTCTAGCCTTGGGCCACTGCCTTACTCAGTCATGGGGGAGGGGCCCCCGGGGAAGAATGTTTTAGCTCAAACACCGGGGCAGATCCTGAAGGAGCTAAAGCTGGAGGCTATCACGTAAACATACTCCTTGAGTTGGGCAACAAGCCCTAGCTTAAGGGGCATCCGAGTGACACCCTGTCTGCTATAGTCCCCCCTTTGTGCCATGTGTATCTATTTCTCTCTCTATTCAGGGAACAGTTCCTTCAGGGCCCTGTAGGGTGCTATTCCTAAAAGGAAACTTACCAGAGGGAAGTTTAATGGCATGAACTATAGCCCTGTCAGGGTTGCCAAGCCATGACTAGGCCTCATGCTATACCTCCGCCGCTATCCAGTCTAATCCCCTCACCCTCAGCTACTACCTCAGCTGCTCTCAGTAGCTCACCGAGGTGGGCGCCCCAAATCCTCATTCCTAAGTAGTCTGAGCACCTTCTTGTCTGATCTTGTCTTGTCCATTCAGTCACAATTGGGCAAAATAGTACCAATTGACAACCAAATAAGTCACTGGAGTCTATGCATATTCCTCCCTGCCCCCACTGTCTAACAGTGGCCCTACCTCCTCCTGATGACCAGGTCAATTACCTCTGATAAGACAGCTATTCCATGTCTTACCTGTCAGTCTCTGACCACAGGGAGGCCAAAGTGCCTGGTAGCAGCCACTAACTTGTAATCCAATGGAAGTTTTGCTCTTACCACAGGCAAGAACGTTCCCTTTTGGGGGACCGAGACCTGTAACCCTGCAGAGCCCAGAGTGGTGGAGACAGGGAGGCCAATGAGTCACTGGAATGATGCTAACTGGGGCCACTCATGCTTCTGGCCCTTGCTCCCAGACCCATGTACTTTTTCTGTTAGGGATGCAGTGCCATACTAAGTTGTCTGATTAGTATATGTGCTGCCGAAGCAGGTGTCTAAGTTGTCTGATTGAAGGCATATACTGTGACGCTCTGGAGGAAATGTCACCATGGCAGCCTCTCACCTCCATGCTGGAGCTTCCACTGCAACTTTGACTCTATCTGTGCAGCAGCTTCTGGGCAGTGGGGTGTGTGATGTGAACAGAAGATCCTACACTCGTGGGCTCACTCCCTTGCTCTCTGTGCCACAGAGAAAGTCCTCCAGTCAGATGCTGTGTTACATGGAATTCTACATCTGTGGCTCAGGTGATCTTTAAGCCCCCAGGGAGTGGTGCCACTGAGGACTTGCAGGCAGAGAAGGCAGCCCCAAACTCAGAATCAGTGTTTATTCCTGTGAGAGCAAACTTCTGGCCCATTTAGGTAAAAAGGAGCCCAATGTAGTCAACTGGTCACCAAGTAGCCTTGTTGACCTCCTTCTGGAATATAAAAGCTGAGCGAGCATTGGTCTTTATAGCTGGCAGGTTGGACATTCAGAGGTAGCAGTAGCTATATTTGTTTTGGTAAGTGACAGTCCATGCTGTTAGATTTTTGCATTGCCCCCATCTCTGCCACCATAGCTTCTTTGTTCAAGCATCCATCACGTAGTAGTTGGGGGAGAGAGATTTCTGATAAAGGCTAAGTCATTTTGTCTAGTTGGCACATTTTTTGTGATAGCTACTTTCTAGTGGGCCTTAACGCGTGATACAAACAACTTCTCACTTTGTGTCCACTCCTACAGGTCCACCTGTACTTCTCAAGACCTTCTTGCTTTTGATTTCATAATCTTTTTTCTTTCAGGCCCTCCACCAGGCCAAGCCACTCATTACTGCCCATGCGTGCACGAATATTTTAACCTTGGGCTATTATCCTTCCATTATGACCAAGGCCCATCCCAGAGCCCCTGCCGTTGTGGAGATTTTCCTTCACTGTTTCCTGCTGTCTTCCCTGAGTAAGACTGTAATAGAGCCACCGTCATTTTTAGCTTGTACCCACATAGTGAAATGACCCACCCGTAACTCAAACTTGGTCTTTTTCCTCCTCTTTTAGCTGTTTCTGTGGGACCCTCTTCATATGATCAAAGGTATACTCTGGGGGAGAGGTACAGTCCAACCGTAACGAGTGACGTGGAGACCTGGGCTACATACTCACTCGGTTCATGAGTCCTGATGGTGCTCAGTCCCAGCTGTATCAGATTCATCTTATGATGGCTCTGATGCTGGGCCCGCCTGGCGTTATGACTTGATGTGTCCAGTAGGACCTAGTTCATGATGGCCAGTTCTGAACCATGGTCATTCATTATCTCTACCAGTGCCCAGCAGCAAGCTAGGAACTGTTTTTCAAAAGTGTTTTTCTTCACTGCAGTTGGCATACCCGTTTCATAATCCCAGGGGCCGGCATCATGACCCTTCTGCTGGGACTTGCCATCACTGCACCTTTTCCCGTCATTGACACCTCCAACACTCTAGGCTCTGCCAGGTTGAATAGTTCAAGCAGAAGGACTGTTGGTATCACAGCCTGGACCTGCCACAGAGCTCATCCCTGCTCTGAGCCCCGCTCAAAGCTGGCCGCCTTTCAGGTCACCCAGTACAAGGGTATCAGTAGTATTTCTCAGTGTAGAATGTGTTTCCTCAAGAACCCCAAATTCCTAACAGTCGCTGTGCTTCCTTCTTTCCAGTAAGGGATCTGAGATGCAACAATGTCTCTATTAGGAGGAAACGTCCCAGCACACTGCTCCATCTAGCATCATTAGTGAAGTGGCAGGTCATGGAACCTTTGTAGGATTTCTCTCTCATTCTCTGGATCACATGTGTCACACCAAGCCGCAAGTGTTTGCGCTGCCTTTTTCTCATCCTGCCTGAGCAGTGTGGTATCATGGACGTAGTGGATGGAGGTGATGATATGCGGATGTCCAAATGCTCCGGTTCTCTTTGGTCTATGAGGACTGAAGGGTGAGCAGAAAACTGTGGCAAGACTATAAATGCTTGTTGGTATCCACTCCGTGTGAGTATGAACTATTTCTGACCTTTCCTGATTGGGATTGAAAAGAATGCATTTGCCAAATCAATGGCCACAAGCCATGTACCTGAGGCTGCATAACTCCAATCCAGCCAAGCCGCTACATCAGGCGCAAAGGGTTAAAGGGGCTCCACCTCCTTGCAGTAGTCTGACCTCTTCTCTAGACCCATGCACTTGCTGCCATGTCGACATTGACACGTTCAACAGAGGCAGGATGGGGACAGCATTCCTTCCTCTTGTTGATATTAAGAGTGGCACTAACAGCTGCCACCCTCCCCAACCCGGGATCCAATGATATTTTGTGGTTACTATACTGAGCTGAAGGTGGGGGGACAGGGTGCAGTTTCAGATGCTCCCCGG